GAGGTTTCTTACTTCACTTTTTTCAGAGCCCAACTACATGATGGTAGGGTTACTGACCTTGTGGTCAGTGTAATAATCCTCAGCTGCCCTACCACAATTATTGCTCTCACATATATTTATATCACAGCTGCTGAAGCTTCAGGATATTGCTGCAGTACTAATAATAAATATTAATATTTCTATAGCAATCAATTGCTCTTAATTACTTTCACCCCAGGAGCCAAGTGAAAAAGGAGCCAAGTTCTGAAGAAGAGAGATTCTTATTCGGTACCTTATTTCCAGAGGAGAGAAGCAATGCAGAGAGAACTGGAAATCTGCCAACAAAAGGAGACACCTGAAAGAGGATAAGATAAATATTTAGCCACTGAGATCTGTTAAAGTACAAAACATCATCTATAATTCAGATTCAAAATTACTACATTTAAATATTATCACAACTGTACTACAAACAGTCCTCCTATGCTGGCAAGTTGCAAGGTAAATGTGAGACATGTACCTCAGTCTTAACTTACTTCCTCTCCCCTGAAAGTGGGCTGTCACTGGAACACTTTTTTGAACTGTTACTATATTTGTACGTTTTTTCATGCTATAGTTAGATCTTTATCACACCTCCAAGGCTGAACAGTGGAAAAACTGGACAAAAAGATTACCCCAGAATAATTCATCCACTGGAGACCTTGATCCAAATTGTGTGCAGAAGGGTTGAGCATTGAGCATCCAGTGAAAGGTGGCAGAGAGAAGCTGCCATGGCCACCCAGCAGAGGCCATGGGTGCTTTGCTTATGGAGGCTTTGCCAAGAGGAGCTTCACACCAGCCATGCCTACAGCTTTCAAAACTAGCCAGACTGCCCATGACAGCATCACCACCTGGTGCCAGGGAATGGAACACCCCCAGGATTTAAAGATCTTTGTTGCTGCAACAGGACTTGGGAGTAACTGGCTGAGGGACAATTTGATCCCTTATGAATAACACAGGAAAAAACGATGGGAAGAGATGGAACTGAATTTCTCATCCTCTGGCTTCCTACAGAGACTCAGTGACCTGTCACCTGGCGATTCATCAGGAGTTTAGACAGGGAAAAGTCATCCAGGAGTGCTGTCCTCTGAGAGGAGGAAAGAGGGATACTAAACAGCACAGGAATCTGATACTAAACAGCATCTGGAATGAACAAGAACCTCTAGAGAGATGGGAAGTCCAGAGAGGGTTTTAAAACAGTCTTCCTGTGTAAACCATTCCTGTGGAGGGTTGCATAATAGAGTATTTGTTTTTACATAAAACACAGTAAATAATTTTGCAGTATTGACAAATCTCACTCTCTCGGGAAACTGTTCTCCGTCTTTGTTATTCTGATTATTATTATGGTACAGTTATCACAGAGTACCACCTTCCTTTCTTCTTAGGAATGAAATAATTATTTTTTTGTGTAGGTGATGAGAGGAATAGGGAGAAACCGATTTTAATGCTTCCAAAAGAATCTTCACTGTGCCAGTAATTTCCTCATCCAGCAATGTTCTGCTGTCACAGGAAACATAATTTCCATTGTATCTCTGCATTGGCAGTGTGGGATGTATCACAGAAGAGCATCTTAGCTTCAGGCCCTGAGAGAGGTCTCTAGGCATGTCTTGTGAAGGCATGCACACAGAATAAAAGCTGTTTCCAAAGACTGCAAAGCTGAAAGCCTGGAGGTGTTTGTACCTGGAGCTTTGACCACCAGTGGAGATAAAGGGCAGCTATGGAAAAGTCTGGCGTTTTGCAGCCAATATTTGGCCACCTGAGAGAAAAAGGCTGACCGGGGCTACAAAAAGGACTCAGAATATGCTGGAAGTTCTTAGAAGATACAGAAAAGTTTCAGTTTGTGCTTTGGATATGATGCAGGGTCTATGCAAAAAGAAAGACTGCTTTTATAAGTACTGCAGTGTAGAGAGGTGGTCAATTCAGATCTGGCTGGAAAAAAAAAACCTTTTGTGGTATTTATGAGATTAGAAATCGTACAAAGGTGAAATATCAACATAGAGAGAATTTTTGCTTCTCTACCATAATCTTTCAGAATCTTCTGGTCATTGTGAGTGTTTCAGATGACAGTCTTTTACCAGATAAGAAACATCAGTGAGAATATTTGGATGCTGAATAGAGCATCCAAAATATTTGGATGCTGAATAGAGGAGTGGAGGAATATGGAGGACTCTCACAGAAGGTCATGAAAAAGGAAAAGAAACGGAGTTATTGCCTCTCACCAATCTATCAAAATAAAATTTCCAGAAACTGTATCTTCTTTACAGCACTTTGGTAGACAAAGGTTGGAGACCTCAACACATTGACTGTTGAGGTTGCTGGGCAGCACAACACGATTTTGTTTGATTGTCATCAAATGTTTGGTTATTAAAAACAAGCTGTCATCCTGGTAACCTGCAAATTTAATGTATAATTAAGTGTATCCTGTCCTCTGTTTCCAAAACAGTGTTACAATGATGTCAAGATATGAGTTCATTAATTTCAGGGATTATGTCCTTGCACCCCAGAGTGTCACATTGCAACAACCACCCCAAATAAGGGGCAGCGACAGTGGAGCTGAATAAAAATCAGGTGTTGAGGTTTATGTGGGACCAGATGGAGAGCAGGATAAAAAAGTACAAGTCTCTCACTTTTCTTTCTGTGGAGTCTGTTTTTCTTGCTAACATTGATGGTGTCAGGACTTCATCCCTCCTCTTCGTAACAGCACTGTGAACGTGGAAGCAGACTCTCTTAGGGAAGCTGGAGGATTGCACCCTTTCTTCACAGCACACCTCAGGGGTATGTGCTCTGCTCACATGGTGCAACATCCATCTCATGGCAGGGTGCTCTTCTCTTCCCCCCAGTCACACAGTTCCCATCAGCAGGAGCCCTGGCAGAGGCCAAGTGGTGCTGGGCTCCACCTGCCTGTGGATTCTCTCCCAAAATCACTATCCTTCTGGAGCTACTGGCAGACCTAGAAATGCAGCATTTGTTCCTGTTTGTGTGCTTGAGTTGCTCATGGGAGAAAAACCACCAAGTCATATAGGACTTCCAAAAAGGAAAGCTAGAAAGCACCAGTGAGCCAAGCACCAGTACCCATTTTATGTGTGATATGATTAAATGGTTATTTACAGCCTTTTTTTTTTTTTTTGCCATCATTGTTTTGGGCTCTCTCTACCCTATTTATTATATTATTACTTCACTACATACCTTGCTAAACACTGACAGACATTTATTCTTATTGCCTGTTGTATCTTTGCCTCTCCTGAGCACTTTAATTGCACTAGGTGCTTTGAACATATCTGTTACCATTGCATAGCAGAGGAGTGATATCTCTGGATATTTATAAAGTCTCTTTTTATAAATTATTTGGAAGCAACACATGGCTTTAGAAATTATATCTCAGACTTTCTTTTCAGGACTGCATGTCTAATGTGGGTAAATAGTAACTGCACATAAGAGAAACCAATATGAGAAAGGGAAAGAATCATCTCAATTTGACATTTAGTGCAGAATTTTGGGTTTTATAAAGTGCTTTCTACACCAGGAAGCATCTGAAAAAAATTTATAGGTCTTTTCAGCCTATCTCCCTTCCATGTCTCAGCTTCAAATTTTGTTCTATAATGAAAATACTTTTATTTTTCTTTTTGCTTGTCTCACTCTCTCTAATTACCAGTGCAGGGGGCAAGAAAAGACGAGAATTACTCCTGGTCAGCAAGAGGATCTCCTTACACTGACAAGCTAAGGACAGCTAAGGAGCAGTTTAGCTGAAGCAAGTACAAAACCTTTTTCAGCACTATTAAGAAAAGCATATGGGCAAGGAGCTGATACAACATATTTTCAGCTGGGTTTCCTTTGCCAGCTCTCTAGCCTGTTTCACCTTTTTTTGCAGAGTGATTTAGTTTCCTTCTTAAATTCTATAGCTTCAGAACCACCTAAGCATCCTAAGGAGTACATTCAATTGAAAGTCAGTCAAGCTGACATTCCTGAGTGCCTGTGGTACTTCTGGAAGGTTTGACCAGCAAAAGCTAAGAAAACCCAGAGGAAATGTCTTCACTAGTGAAAGTTTGAATTTTTCCCATATGTCAACAGCTCTTGCACTGGGGAATACAGCAAACTACATTCAGTCTCAGAAGTGCCAGGCAGAATGGAGTAATCACTTTCCTCTGGCTGCTGATTATCCTTTTTCTAAAACATCCCAGTGCTTGTTTGGCTGCCTTTGCTACAAGGAAACACTGTGGAGACATTTTCAGTTCTCTCAGTCTTTTTGTGCAAAGCTGCTTTCCAGCCCTTCAGTCCCTGGCCTGCTCTGTTGCATGGGGTTATTCCACCCCTCGTGGGGAACTTGGCATTTGCATCTCCAGAATTTCATAGTCCTGTCAGTCCATTTTTACAGCCTGTCCCTCTGAGTAGCAATCACACCCTCTGTCATGACAGCTGCTCCCCCCAGTTTGGTGTCATCTGCAGCCTTGCCAGGAGTGAGCTCTCTCTCATCACTCTGGTTGTTAACAGCCATAATAAATGATATTGTCCCAGTACTGGTTCCTGTGGGATGCCACTTGTAAGACTATCAGCTGGTCTTGTTACTTCAGATTGCCCCTGTCAGAGCCCAGCAAGTTTTCCACCCTCTCACCAACCCAGTCTATAATTCTCCAGTTTGTTTATGGAGAATCCATAGTCTCTCCTGTCCCCTGTTCCAGTGCTTAACCACTCTCAACGGTGAAGATTGTTTTCCTTATATCCAGTCAGATTTACTTTTTCTGAGACTTTTGATCATTGATTTTTTTTGTTTTTTGCTGTGTACCTCAGAGATGGGCTCCATCTTCCCCATAAATCTGCTTTCAATTGTAGCAGACAAAAATTAAATCCCTTACCACCATCCTTTCTCCAGCATGAAGAAATGCAGCTACATCCATCTTTCCTCACAGAGCGTGTTCTCCAGCCATCCATCCATCTTCATAACGCCCCACCAAACCTGATGGAGTTATCTCTCTCTCTCCAACAGGGATCCAGAACAGGACAGACTGCTCTACATGCAGGACTGCCAAGTAAAGGACAATGCTCCCTCAGACCTCCTGGCTATGCCCAAGGTGGTCTCGACCTCCAAAGCAGAAGAGAAGAGGCAACGAGAAAGCTCTGCAGGAGACAGGAACCGTGTTGTGTCCCGGAATCCCAGTGTCCTCATCACCCTGTTTGGAGAGCTGGCTGGTGTGTACCCCAGATTTCATCTGGACAACGTGTGTGCTTTCCATGTCTGAAGACACCAGGACACAGAGGTAAGGATGTGTGTATGCCCCAAAGCTTGCTCCTGTGTGGTGTTTGGAGGCATCTGGTGCTGGATATTCTAAAAGAGTTGCTAGGTCCTGCAGGCTGTGCTGTAGTCTAGAAGAGAGCTCAGACTGGAAGGTGGCACTCCCTACCCTCTATAAACAGTACAGGAGGGGTATGGCTGAGGAGACAGGGGCTCAGAGTCTCGTTTTGACACGCACAGCCCATGCCTGTGGGACTTACATGGTACTTGTAAATTTGATTTGGCTGTGTATGACAAATCTTATCTGTATATTGTGGTCTTGCTTGTGAACAGAACAGCCCCAGTGGGGCCCAGATTAGACTTGTATGGGAAGCATAGTCAAAACTAGGCATTTTTCCTTTGGGAAAATATGTGTGCTTTGTGCAGACATCTGTGGGAAAGATAAACAAGTAGAATAGTGATCCATTGGGTGCAAAGATAAGAGCTAATTAATCATACTGGTTTTGCCTGGATAGAGTTAATTTTCTAGTAGCTTGTGTGGTGCTGTATTCTGGATTTGCGCTGAAAACAGCATTGACAAAACCCCAATGCTTTAGCTATTGCTGGGCAGTCCTTTAGAGCATCATGGCTGTCCCTGCTTCTCACACTAGCCTGTCATGGAGGAGGCTGGGGGTGCATGAGAAGGTGGGAGGAGGAACAGCTGAGACAGCTGAACCCAAAGGAAAAAATGGAGATTTGATAATATATGACACATGACATTTTGCTAAGCAATAAAAGCTGTGGGGAAAAGCAGAAAGGGTGAATATTTTCAGTGACAGAAGGACCAGAAGCTGGGCTTTGATGATCCTTGTGGGCCCCTTCCAACTCAGGATATTCCATGATTCTACACTTTGTCTTCCCAAGTCACCACTACACATGATGGAGTGTATTTCTTTCCTGGGGTGGGCTTAACACCTGCCTGCTGAGGGGAAATGGTGGCCAAATCCTATAAAGCAAATTCTGCTTTATTTAATGTGCAGCTTTTGCTTTACCTTTTAAACTGCCTCTATGTCAACCCATGAGTTTTCACACTCTTTCCCTTCTGATTCTCTTCCCCATCCCACAGAGAGGAGTGAGAGGGGCTGTGGGGCTTAGCTGCCTACTAGAGTTAACCCACAGCATAAATATTTGTGATCAGTTCCATGGACAGCATGTGAAGGACTGGTGCAAGATACCCAGTCTTTTTTCTTGCCTGAATTAAGTAGCTTGGACTTCACTTTTCAGTCTCTGGGAGAAATTTAAGAACCCTTTTCTTTTAAAAGGACAAAGTCGATAGCTGTTAAAGGAGGGCTGCCACTGAGCTTGTATACTGCTGAAGCAAGGCATGAAAAACAAGATCTGAGATCTAGCAATAAACATCAGACCAGGAATGGTGATGTTTCTTCAACAATTTATTGAGTAGTCCCTCCAAGGTACTGGTTGTGCCTGGTTTATTACTTTTAGATTGGTATTGTGCATGTTTTTAAAAATAGAATTCAGATGAGAATTTCTCTGCTGTTTTCAGGGGGGTGGGGGAGGTGGGTAGGGCAGGTGTTTAGCTTTCTTCCTTTTGTTTTTCATTATGTATTCTATGTGGTCCCACACTGATACTTTAATAAAATATTCTTACCTCTCATATAGAAGATTTATCACTGTTTTTAATTAAGAAATCATCAGCTAGCATTTGACAGGCCATTTTCAGCCTCATTACAAATGTGTTCTTGATTAAATTTCAGGTATATTCAATATTCTGTAAATCAGAGAAGAGTGCTTTCTCTTTTCTTCTATTCAATTGTGAACATTACAGATATGATGTCAATAGCATGTGCTTAGCATAAAGTACAATAATGGTAAAGGGGAGTTGAAAACCATCTAAACCTGCCTCCTCAGGGTGGAACTGAATTCAGTTGCTTCCTCATCTGGAGAGCAGTTATGAAAGTGTTGTCTGGCCCATCTAGAAGATTTCTTCTTATACATAAAGAAAAAAAAAAAAGAAGATTGGAAGACCCTAGTCTGTGGTCTTCTCAGGAATGGGCCTTCAGAGTTGGTGAGACAAAGGAAGACAGGAAAGTACTAGAAATCAAAGCTTAGCAGAGGAACTCAGTGGAGCATGCTATCTGATGGAGGTGTCAGTGCAGAGGAAAAATAGATCAAAAAGGTGTGTTGGGGGGTGGTATGTGCATCTTACAGACAAAAGGTGAGACAGAGGGAGCATGTAAGAAGGGGGGAAGTAAGAAACACTCAGAGTTTCGCATGTTAACAAAAGTGAAATTATACCTCTAAAAATTAAAAAAGGAAATCAAAACCTGATGGCAGGAAGAATAAAACTCATTAATGGACCTCACAGGACCTGCCTAAACACCCTGCCAGATATGGCTTAAAAGAAACAAAATCACCAAAGCCAAAATAAAATAAAAAAAAACCCTTGCAAGAATACATTCTTCTCCTTTGTAAGATACTGAGCATCTTTTTTCTCTCCACTAAACTGTGTGTACCTCAGTAGTCTGACCTTCTTGCCTAAAATGTCTATGGCTGGTTACTTCCCACAGAACATTTCCATGCTGACATCTTGTCTTTCTCCTTTCTTGATAAACCAAGTTTGACTGGCTGGTGTTTGTCTAAAAGTAGTTGCAAGATGCCCTGCACTCTGGATGTCACTAGAAAGAAGCTCATTTCTGCATCTTCTCACACCCCATTATCTGTCTGATGATGTCTGGGAAAGCACCTAAAAGCCAAGGACAAGAACCAAGTAGAAGGTGTACAGGTGACAGAAACTGCTGTAGACATCTATTCCTCACTCTGTATTTTTATCTATTTTAGGTCTTAAAGAACAATTTGAGGTACCTTGGAAACCATCTGGTGCTCTCTGCAATAATTCTCCTGGTCTGGTCTGGAGTGACTTCTGAAATACTGATAGTACTACTTACCTGAATTCAGGTGATGCTTCAATGTGTTTACCACCTCCAGGCTACCTTCTCCACCCCTTCTACAGAGCCTAGTACAATTTCTAAGTGTTGAATATTTTAAATAAGGTTGAACCACCCTGGAATTGATGTTAGTTTTGCTGATGCCTGACAAAAAGGAGCGTACAAGCTGAAAAACACAAAATTGATTTCACATTTGTTTGCAGCAGCACGACAGAAAAACGCAGTGGATTGGAAACAAAAGGAAGTTCTATGTGTAGAAGAAAGAGGCTGAAAGGATGTTTGGAAGTGATGATAATGGAAAAGTTAACTGATGTCAGAAGTGATTACACGGGAGGCTTCTAGGCAGTATGGCTGCCTCTCTACAACTATATTCAGCAAAGTTCAGCAATATCCATTGCCTGATGCCCCCAGCTGCCACTGCATTCCTTCACACTTTTGCAAATGCTGGCTAATATAACATTTTCCTGCTCTGCTGCTTAAAGGACACATATCAAAAAGATGGCTTAATTTCCAAAAGGCTCTGATGTGTAATATGAAAATAGTGTCACATGGTAAGCTCACTACAAATATTACGTCCAGTGCATTTTGCTTGAACATGCTTTAATCTGACAGCTTTTATTCCTGCTTTGTGCTAGAGTTATGTTTTCCTTTGATCAAAATAAAAATAATGAGAAATGCAAAGCACAGGCTTGGTAGAAATATTAATTCATATCTTTACTGGGACACATAATCCTAAAATACCTGTTCTTTTCTCTATTGAACCACAATCTTAAACCACACTGTAAATAGAATTAAATTGGTAGGGTTATATTTAATTTTTTTTTTTTCTCACTCCTCCATCTCTTGCCTGCCTGACTCATTACCCTCTTTTAATTTCCCCAGCAAGATAAAACTGAATATCAAAAGTCGTTAAACATCTTAGTTTTCAAATGACAAAAACTGAACTGTGTGCATGAAAGTCTAATCAACAGAGCTGAGGAGAAGTTTTGTGATCCAACGTTTTCACATAAGAAAATGCAGATTTGAACATCACAGGGACAGAGGGAAAGGACAAAAAAAGGCATTTTCATAAGGTAAAAAATGCTATCTAAAAATACGTATGCAGTAACATTCCAATACTTCATTTTGAAACAACTTATAATTTTTTTATTATTTGGGTTAGAAATTTAAGCTGTGATAATAATAAAACAGCTCTAGACCATTTCATTATTATATTATAAACATTGATTATAAGCTTGGTATGTTCTTTTAGTCATAGAATTACAGAATGGCTTGTGTTGGAAGGGACCTTAAAGATCACCCAGTTCCAACCCTACTGCCTTGGCAGGGAACCTTCCATTAGACCAGGCTTCTCAAAGCCCAGTCCAACCTGTCCTTAAACTCTTCCAGAGATGGGGAATCCACAACCTCTCTGGGAAACCTGTTCAACTGCTTCACTACTCCCACAGGGAACAATTTTTTCCTGAAATCTAATCTAAATTTCTCCTCTTTCAGTTCAAAGCCTTTACCTCTTGTCCTGTCTCCTCCCCAGCTCTCCTGTAGGCCCTTTTTAGATACTGCCAGCTGTAATAATGTCTCCCTGTAGCCTTCTCTTCTCCGGGCAGAACAGCCCCAACTGCCTCAGTGTGTCTTCACAGGAGAGCAGCTCCAGCCTCTGATCAACTTAGTGATCTCCTCTGGACTGGCTCCAACATCTTTCCACATCTTTCTAGTGTTAGGAACCCCAGACCTGGATTCAGAACTCCAGGTGGGGTCTCACAAGAGCAAAGCAGAGGGGGAGAACCACCTGATGCTGAATATTTAGAAATAAGTAGAAATACTCAGCATCAGAAATGAAACCTTCTGATGCCTGACATTTGATGATATGAAGAAAAGCTGTGACTAAACAAAAATAAAAGCTCTGAATTTGTATTATGTAGGACTTCAAATGTTTTTTGGTTTCCTTAATTTTAAACAAACAAACAAACATCACAAAAATAATGTGAAATACCTTCTGGCATGTCCAGTTTTATTCTGGGCCAGCATTTTTTATTGGTGAAATTTACCAACATAGCTTCTTGAAATAACATAAATCATTGGAATTGCTGGTGGATTAAACAGGCTTTACTTTTCCTTAATTGCACAAATACCATGTGATCTCAATGAAAACTTTCATCCTGAGACGTCAAACTTTGATGCCTAAATTATCCGAATTGTGTAGAATGAGTTTACTTTTTAAAATTTTACATTTCTGAGGAAATTATCAGTTTATGGAAACAAGACAAAATGGCAGGCAGCAGAATCTGGCTGACTGCAGTCAGAAATCTGAACCCTTTGCAGAGGGGCCACTTGAATCTCAGTTTTTGCCTTCTTGAATCCCTGGTGTCATTTCTGGGGTCCTGTGCAGCCTCTGTAGCACAGAACATTCATTGCACCGAGGACATGGCCTGCAAGAACCAGCTGTTGCACAGCTGGCCAGACTCCTCCTCCTCAAGACCTTCCTTAACTTAGGGGGCATTTGGGAGCATTAAGGGCGATGGTAAGGAAAAACACAGTGAGAATCCAATTTTCTATATCAAGCTGTCCTAAGTTAGTGTTATTAGATGGAACATAACTAAGCCTGAGGCTGATTTATACTAATGTGATGCTCATGTGAAATGTGCCCTGGGTCAGGATGTGCAAATATGGCAGTAAGCAGATCCCAAAATATAAACCCCAGTCTGCAGTACTGTAACAGATAAAACATTGCATTAGGCTCCCACATAAAGCACTCTGGTTTAGACCAGGTTGATTGAATTGAATTAAATTGAACTAAACTGCATTTTGAAAACAAATCATGCTTTCATATGCTGTGATTTGACTCTTAAAAGATAAAGAAATTAATCTGTATTTTGAGAACATAATGTGGGCTTTGCTGAGCTAATTCTGTGCACAGATTACACTGTACATTTTTACAAACCATTAATGGGAATTCACAGCCCTCAGAGCTTTCTGTATTGAATCTCCTTCTGACATTAGCACAAGATCTGTCCAACTCTCACAGCAGCAAAGAGGGACTTGGTCTCAAGGAGACCTGGAGGGACAGAATCTGAAAGAGTAATATCTTTAACCTTAGGGTACCAGAGATGGATCTAATAGCCCTGGCGTTTGTGCTAGCTTCAGACCTTAAATCATCCTTTTCAGTTGATATATAAGGCCAGATTCTCTAGTGTCCTCTGGCTGCTTTGAGCTGTTACTGTAAGGCAACAAGCCATAAGCTGAAGTTGTCTCACTGATTAAACTAAATTTATAGTTGTTTTTCCACTGCAAGAAAGACACAGATATCTGAACCATGATTTACAAAGACTGAGAGAAGAATATCACAACATTATCAGCCTTTAATGATGATGAGCTCTCATAAGCATTTTCCTGAGACATATAGAAATAGAAAGGTTCAGGCTCAATGGTTACCCCTCTATGGACTGGGGATCTTGTGTACATAAAACATTTGGCAAAGGTATGGTTCTCTGATAGTGCATTTTGTTCACTACCACAACTAAAACCTGGAGATTGTGTGTGGGGGCAAAACATTTATCTCTTCCTCGTCTTCCTGGCATATTATAAGGAAAGCTACTCTGCATTTTCAGGGCTATCCTACATGCTAAAAATCTTCTACCCAAGACTCCAAATCAATAACAACTCTCAAAAATATTTTTCCCAGACAAGTAACTGAATCTTCTCTAAAATACCATCAACACCAGAGATTGTCCATAGGGCCAGGTTATACCTGCCAATTCCCTTTTGCTGTGATACAGTATGCATTTATCTTCTCCCTCTATTTACATCTCTGTTTGGGAAAAGAGATGTTCCTGGTGTTGCTTTAGATTCTATTTTAAACTGTAGATGAGGTCATAATGTCAGGCTGTAAATCTGCTAAGAAAACATTACTAAATGCTTTTTAGCCAAGCACTTCCATCTCAGCAGTGACAGACCCTCTCTTGCATAACCGGTGGGCTTTTGCCTACTGTGACATACTTTAAATTCTGGGGGATATCTGCAGGATAAGAATACAGTTTAGAGACTGGGACTTTAATTAGCTAACTGAGCCAGACTGTTGTGCCTGACATGTCCTAAGGCTGTCAAATGGACTGGTTACACCCTTCTCCCCTTACCCTGGAACAAGGGTTACACCATGCTGTGTTTCACAGCCTTGCACAGCTTTGGTAGTTGATTGCAAATGAAATAAAAATTCAGCAAGTTAAAAGTATCCTGAATGCAACATGGAGTTCTGCCATTACACAGCTTCAGAGGTGGCAGAAGACAGTGAAAGGTGATCTCTACGGTGTGCCTCTTCTGTGCATAAGGAATCTCTTTTCAGGGAGACTCATCAGCCCTTGAGATGCTGCAAAATACAAAGTACTTCAGATATGTCCTTTCAGTTAGCATTGCTCACTAAAATCCTGAAAACCCTGTTTGTTCTTACATTCCTTGTCCCATTGCATGGCTTTAAGCAAATACTCCATCCCTATTATTGCAAGGCAACAAAAATGGCCAAAAATGGCCAAGAGGCACAATAGAGTTTCCTGCTCTTCTGAGCACAAAAATAAATCAATGCATCTGGAGACAGGTTGCCACAAGAAAGTCTTCTGCTTCATCTGTAAGGTTTGACTGTATTAAGTTTCTCTCTCTGCTATTTGTATAGTGGCTCAATTATCTTTTTTATCTGATGCATTTTCGAGGAAGGTATTATTGTTTTTAAAAACCAGTATTATAGCTCTTCCTCTCTGAAGACATCAGCTTGTGGTACCAATAGGACTTTGTGGGAAGAAGGTTGGGGGACAACATTACAGTTAAAATAAGCATCATAAAATACCCGTATTTGCAACTTATGTCTACATTGACTCATCATGAATGAGCTGGAGGATATTTTTAATCTGGAGCATTTGTTTCAATCCATGCAGCTGATGAAGCCAGGTCTTGTTATGAACATGTTATGTTCACCCACAGGTACTGCTAGTTTCCCTTTGCAAAGCAGGGCAGGCTGGAATTCCTTATTGTATCTTATTGACAGAAAAGGTTCCCAGGGAATGAGGGCCAATTACCCAACCCATGGTAACAAACCCATGGTACCAAAGCCATGTTTGTTTTGGAAAAACAAAGAGAGGAGTCATAAATGGCATATAGTGGAGAGAGAAACTAGCAAGTTTTCCTGGCTGAAAACTTTATTGAATTTTGAATGTTGCAGTACAGATGGGAAAGCAGTGTAATGTGATTTGTATTTAGAAAGGAGGTTTCAATGACGTGTTTAATGCAGCATCCTCTTTTACCACAAAATTATCTGAATGTTCTCTCTCATGTGAAAGTATTTCTGCCTTCAAGTTTCCAGCTTTTTGCATGACTGATACTACTTCAAAATAGTTTTTTTTTTCTTTTTTTGCTCAAGGAGCTTCCAGTTCTCGAAAGACAACAGCTCTGGAAGATCAGTGCAGAATGAGAGTTGAGGGACTGTGAGAACTGCACAGGAATTAATCTTAGTCATGAAAACATATGGATGTGAGGTAGGGTGAGACATTATTTTGCCAGTGGCTGGAGAACACAAATGCAAAACAACTGTCCAGCTTGTCAGAATTACCACGCATGAATATCCATGAGTAGATATTTATTATAAAACATTGCTGTGTTTAGGGTTGCAATCCCAGTAGGAAGACTTCAGAAAATGTGTTTTGAAACAATGCTGATGATATTTGCTATTCTGTAGCCCACTGCTCTTTCAAGCATAGCTAGCAGATATTTTGAAGGGTCCTGTGGATGTAAGAGATCAAGGCTAGTATTTGGTGCTCTGTAAATTCACAGTTACTCAGAATGCACTTTGACTTTCATAGGAACATGAATGCAGACATCAATCTGCTCACAAGAACAATTTCAAGTGGTACTGATGGCAAATATTCTGGATTCTGTGATTCTACCCATATGGGTCAATTTAGAGGAGTCTTTATTTTTTAAGTGTGAGAAGTGTTCCCCTGGGTCTTTCCTGAGTGAACATTAATATTTTCCGTTTGATATTATTTTTTATTTGGCATTTTAGTGTCTTATTACAGA